TCCACTAAAGGCTGGACCTGCAGGTTTCAGCTCCTTGGCACCAACTCCCACTTGCTTGGCTTGGAGAAAGAGCTTCTCAGGACAGTGGGTTTCTGAGGATGGGTTTTGGTAGCGGGGGGACTACAGGGGTGACTTCTGCTGGAAGCTGCCAGAAGCTTCCCCTGCTCTGTGGAGCCAATGCCAGCTGCTCCAGGACGGACTTACTGCTGCTGGCCAAGGCTGAGCCCATCAGGAGCAACAGGAACAGCTCTGGGATAACAGATTTAGGGACAGAAGGAATTGCAGCCAGGGAAGAGCAAAGTGGAAACGTGGGAAAAGCAATACAGACCACAAGGGCGGTGCAGAAGAAGGGGCAGGAGGTGCTCCAGGCACCAGAGCTGAGACCCCCCAGCCCCTGGGGGAGCATCGGGGTGCAGAGACCCCCCTGCAGCCCCTGGAGGCTCCCACGCTGGAGCAGGGGGATGCAGGAAGGAGGCTGTGACCCCGGGGCAGGTCCAGGATGGAGCAGGTCCTGGCAGGGACCTGCAGCCCGTGCAGAGGGAAGCCCAGGCTGGAGCAGGTTTTTCCCAGCAGGACTCATGGCCCCTGTGGGGGACCCACGCCGGGTCAGCTCATCCCTGAAGGACTGACCCCATGGAGGAGGGACCCACGGGACAGCAGGGTGGGAAGAGCTGCTGCCCTAGGGATGGACTCACTGGAGAGGTCCATCCAGGACTGTCTCCTGTGGGAGGGACCCCACGGGAGCAGGGAAGGATCCAACTCCTCTCCCTGAGCAGTGACAGAAACAAGAAGTGACTGTAACCCCCATTGCCGTCCCCCTGCACCACTGGGGGGAGGAGGGAGAGCTGAGAAGGAAGGAGGGGTGAGGGGAAGGTGTTTTTCAGACTGTTTTATTTCTCACTCTTGGCTTTTATCCTGTCAGCAATAAATTTAAGAACTATCCCTACTTTGAGTCTGTTTTGCCCATTAGTAAGTGACTTTCTCCCCACCCTTATCTCTACTCAGGAATCCTCAGCTGTTTTTTTCCTCTCCTCTCTGGAGCTGCAGAGGGAGGGGAAGGTAGCAGCTTTTAGGGGGAGTTTGAAATGCAGCCAGGGTCAACCCACTAAACCAACCCATGTGCTTGAGGCCCTTTTGTGATGTCACAGCCCACCCTCTCCATTCCGGAATAGCCCTTGGCAACCAAAGAACCAACACCCCACCAGGGCAGAATGCAGCCCCACACATGTGCCCCTTTATGATGTCCCAGCCCATCCTCTCCACTCTGGAATAGCCCCTGGAAACCAAAGAACCAACGCCCCACACCCCCACAGTGCAGCCCCACCCATCTCCCATGGGACTCTTTGTGAAGTCACGGCCTTTCCCCCAGGAAAGAAAGCCTGTAACCTTCGGGTTTCAGGTGCAGTTGGTGGGCCACCCTGGGCACTCCATGGGCAGCAAGAGCTTTCTGTCCTGCCACCTTTTGTCTGGCAGGAATCTTTGTCCAGATTCCAATTTGGCAGTCGGACTGACAATTCCAGCGCGGGGCTCCTGCAAGCGAACGACAGCCCTGCCCTCCAGGAAAGAAACCCCTTCCCCTCGGTCTCTTTTCCTCTTCCTTCAAATCCAACCTGCAGGGCAGCTTTCTGCCATCTCTTCTCTTGGCAATTGTGAAGATAGACCTGCTCCCATGTTTAACACCTCAGGCAAAACCACCCTGTTAACAGCTTTCCCAACCTTCCCCATCCTTTCCCAAAGCTGAGATGTGGAAAGAACAAGGGCCCTTGTCCCTGGCTGTGCTGCTGTGCTGGGAGTCTCTTCCCTCCAGCTCTGCACACAGGCACTGCCCCTGCAGCTCCAGAGAAGGGCTGAAGAAGCATCTTCAACACAGAAATCAGGGCAGGTGTATCAGGGATTGTTGGTATTTTTTGGTCTGTATTTGGCCCAGCACCTGCAAAAGTTTTGTTTTTAGCCTGTCAAGTTCACTGATAAACAGGAGCTTCATCCTTGGAGAGAGAGTTTCTTGTATAAACTGTTTTAATAGGTGTTTTTTGATTGGCTGGTTGTCTGTAGAGGACATTTGAAGGAGAAACTGAAGAGGAGAGGATGAAGTAAAGCCCCCAGACCCAAATAGATGAGAAACCTTGAGTGAAACAGCGCAAGTGCGAGGGGAATCCCCACGTTCTCCCGCATGGCTGAAGGGGGGCACTCACAGAACGGGGCAGGGACCGAGGGCCTCTGGCTGGGCGGTGCTGCCACACCGACCCAGGGAGATGTCCCAGGTTAAGTGGATAAAAATGCAGGTGGCTCGTGCTCGGGGCTCTCAAGCTTCACAGGAAGGACAACGCTGCCTTTTGTGGAGACGCCGCTATCTTTGTGAGCTCCGAGGATGCAGCCTCTGCTGGGGGGAATTCTGGTTATCCTGGGGTCAGTAAGACAACCTCGTAAAACACACCTGAGTGAGTGGGGGTTTCACTGAGGGCTCAGTTCACTCGTGTCCTTTCCTGTCTCTCAGGTTCCCGTTTACTTGGCCACTTTTTGTAATAAATATTGGGTTTTGTTTTTAGCTGTCATCAGTGTCTTGGGTTTCAATCTCAGCATCCTCTCAGACTCACCCCGTTACAGGGACTCAGACTGAAAATTCCAGCGAATGTGTTCTGACTCCAATCAAATGCATTTCCACCCAGGAAAGGAAGCATTTACTCTCCATCTCTCTCGTGCAATTGGTGAGCTGCCATGGTCCATAATAAACACATGAGACCTGCAGGGTTTGAAGCACAGGGTAGCAGATCCTGGGCAGATCTGCTTTTATTCAAAATGGGGGGCTTTTATAGGGCAAGCTGAGGAGGGTTCTGGAAAAAGGGAGTGGATATGGAAAACTAGGAGGGGTTAACATGAATATGTAACAGGGAGGTGGGTACGTGACCACGAGGTAACTTGGAAGGGATATGATTGGGTAGGACACATATATCGCAGTAAGTTTTCCAATAAGAGAGTAGCAAACAGTCCAAAGGAGAAGACTTTACAGCAAGACAGGGGAACATGCCTGAACATACCCTGAAACAATAGCATCAACTTAACTATAGGTTTTAGCCAAACAGTCCCTGCAAACAGTCCATTAGACAAAGGTAGGGTCACTGCTCTTCTCCTCAAGAAACTCTTCCAGAGCAGGTACGATTCATCCTCCTTGCAGTCACCTCCAACAGTGAGCCACTCTTGGCACTCCATGCACACACAGAGCTTTTTGTGCTGGCACCTTTTGTCTGGGAAGAGTCTTCATTCTTATTCCATTTTCGGGCTCAGACTGACAATTCCAGTAAAAGGGGTTCTGACACCAAACAAATCCAATTCCACACAGGAAAACAAAGTCCTTACCCTCCATCTCTCCTGTGCAATTAGTGAGCCACTCTTGGCACTCCATGCACACATACAGTTCTCTCAGCTGGCTCTTTTTGTCTGGAATCTTCATTCTTATTCCATTTTCAGACTCAGACTGACAGTTGCACTTCAGGGGTTCTGACACCAAACAAATGCATTTCCACCAAGGAAAGAAAGCCTGTTGAGGTTTTGAGTCTAGGCCTTCCTTGGTAACCAGGTTGTAACCAAGGAACCAAGGCCATGTTCCAAGTATTCCATATGATTTTTACTTTAGCAAATGTATAAATAAGAAGGGAGAGGAAGCTCTTGCTCTCTTTTTTCTGGCAAACTGAAAGCGCAGGTGCTTGGGTGAAGGAGTGAGGCCTCGTGTGCCTCGTTGGCCTTGAGAAGCAGAAAGTGCCGGCGGTTGTTGGTGCAATTCTCTGCTGTCTTGAGGAAAGTATTTGGGTTACGGTTTGACTTTAGGGTTCAGATTCGGGTTTAGGGTCATGGTTAGGATCAGAGTCATGGTTAGGGTTAGACTTAGGGTTTAGGCTTGGGTTAGGGTTAGGGTTGGAGCAAGGGCTAGGGTTAGGGTTAGGATTAGGGTTAGGGTTAGGGTAAGGGTTGGGGACTCTGACAATTCCTGCCAGGGGTTCTGACACCAAACAAATTCATTTTCACCCAGGAAAGAAAACCCTTACCTTCCATCTCTCCTGTGCAATATATGAGCCACTCTTTGCACTCCATGCACACATAGAGCTTCCTGTGCTTGCACCTTTTGTCTGGAAGGAATCTTTAATCTTATTCCATTTTTGGACTTAGACTTACCATTTCACCACAGGGGTCTGGGGTCTGGCAAACCGGGACTGGCCAGGCAAGGGGGGACCCAGGCTAGGAGGACGGGGAAGAGGAGGAGGAACAGCCAGTGGGGGCTGCTGAGACCCCCGGAGTGGGGAGAAGGGGGACCCCTGAGATTCCTGGGACCCACAGCAGCCTGGAGAGGGGGAGACCCCAGGGAGGTGGGACCCCTGAGACCCCTCAGCACCCCAAAGCAAAGAGTCAGGGGAGAAGGGACCCCTGGGGCCTCCAAAACCCCCAACATCCCTGAGCAGGGGGACCCTGGAGCAGGGGAAGTCCAGGACCCCCAGCAGCCCAAACATGAGGGACCTCTAGAGCCCCAAAGTGGAGAGACCTGAGAGGGGAACTCTTGGAAGCGTTTTTTTGTTCTGAACCTTGGAGTTCTGGTGGGTTATTTTTTGGGCTGAAACTTGGTGTTTAAGAGGTTTTTATGGACACAAGATGCCCGGTGACTTCTAAAAATGGACTTGGGCAGGAGGAACCCCCAAGCCAATGAGCTCAGCCCTTGTTTTCCCCTAGCAGGATTTGTCCTTCCCAAAGCTTGGGCTGATGGAGGAGGAGACTGCAAGGAAGAGGAAAAAGCCACGGACCCCCCAGGCAGGTGAGGAGGAAGTCAGTGCCCCTTTGGCCCTGTCTTGTGGTGCCTGTGGCAGCTGAGCATTGTCCCCGGCTGTAGGACAACCCCGCTGGTGCCGCGGTCCTGCCGGGGCCGAATTTGGGGGATGTCCTTGGGCTTCCCTCTGGACCAGAGGCAAATCCCCTGCCTGTCCTTCTTCCTTCCTGCCCCAGGCCCCGATCTGAGGATGGAGAGCACGGAGGACAAATCCCCCCGGCAGAGCCTGGTGGGAGAGGCCGTTTTGAAGGGCTCCCCGGTGCAGGAAGGCAGCGGGGAGGAAAAGGCTCGGAGATGCCCCCGGAGGAGGGGCTGCAAAGCCAGCCCAGGGAGCTCTGAGGAGGAAAGACCCGTCCTGTGCCGGGAAGGCGGCCAGAGCTTGAGCCGGAGCTCCGAGCTGGTGGTCCCTGAGCAGCCTCCCAGCAGGGAGAAGCCCTTCAGGTGCTTGGAATGTGGGAAGAGCTTCAGCCAGAGCTGGAACCTCCTCAGGCACCAGCACATCCACACTGGAGAACAGCCCTACACGTGTAGGGAATGTGGGAAGGGCTTCAGGGACAGCTCCAAGCTCCACAGGCACCAGCTCATCCACACTGGGGAACGGCCCTACAAGTGTGGGGAGTGTGGGAAGAGCTTCACTGATGGATTCAACCTGATCCAACACCAGAGTATCCACACTGGGCAACGGCCCTACAAGTGCTTGCAATGTGGGAAGAGGTTTAGGACCAGCTCACATCTCCTCGTGCATGAGCGGACACACACAGGGGAGAGGCCCTTCCGCTGCACCGACTGTGGGAAGGGCTTCAACCAGAACAGCAACCTCATCACCCACTGGCGCATCCACACCAGGGAGAGGCCCTACAAGTGTGAGGAGTGTGGGAAGAGCTTCAGCCAGAGCTCCCACTTGACCAGACACCAACAGACCCACCGGTAGGAGAAGCCCCTGGAGTGCCCCGACTGCGGGAAGAGCTTTGGCCGCTGCTCCCACCCCGAATGACCCCCTGATGGTGAGGCAACCCCTGGAGTCCAGTGACTGTCAGTCCATCCCTTTCCACCAGAAAGGGCCAGTCCCCTTTCTCAGGGTCAGGTTGTGCCAACAGAACCCTTCTTGGAGGGTGTGTGGAGATTCCTGCCTTGGCTGGGACCCCCCAAGGTCAGTGCTGGAGGTTGAGAGCAGAGATCTCCCCACGATTGTTGGTCTGGGGGAGTTCCATCCATCTTTAATTCGTAATTCTTGCTTTGGTGCCAACTTGAGTAGAATTGCTTCAACAATTGCTTTAGTGTAGAGCACTGTCCAATCTTATTCTGTATTAGTGGTAGTTTTAGTGTTTCTTTAGTGTTTCTTTTAATGTTTCTTTAGTGTTGCAGTTTCCATGGAGAAAAGGTGAGGGGAGGTGGGCAGAGATTCTCGGCTACAGTCACCAGTTCTTCTCCCTTTCCTCTCCCTGATTTTCCAAAATTTGCCCTCAATTTTCATATAGTGTTCACAGGAGCTTGAACATGGTTTTTTGGCACGTAGCCAGTTCAGATGTTGGAGGAGCTATGATAACCATAAACAATAACAGGATCTTTTGGCAGGAAAAGTGCCATGGGAAGTCCTGGTGAAAACTTCTGGCAGAGAGCTGACAGGGAATGTTTGATAGGAAGTTTTTGACAGGCAGAAACAATTTTTGGCATTTTTATATTATCTGTGTGTTACAGATGGTTGCCATGGTAAATAACTGGGAATGCATAATGGTTACCATGGTAACCACAGTAACAATGAGACTTCATAATGGTTGCCGTGGTAACCAATCGTAACAATGAGATTGCATAATGGTTGCCATGGTAACCACAGTAACAATGAGACTTCATAATGGTTGCTGTGGTAACCAATCGTAACAATGAGATTGCATAATGGTTGCCATGGTAACCAATGTAACAATGAGAATGCAAAAGATATGCCATGGTAATGAAATTCACAATGAGAATATATAGTGGTTGCCATGGTAACCGACGTCACGATGAGAATGCACAGTTGTTGCCATGGTAACCAAGGTAAAAGTGGGAATACATAATGGTTTCCATGGCACCTGGCGTCACAGTGAGAATGCACAATGGTTGCCATGGTAACCGAGGTCACAATGAGAATGCACAATGGTTACTATGGTAAGTGAGGTCACAGTGAGAATGCACAATGGTTGCCATGGTAACCGTGGTAACAATGAGAATGTATAATGGTTACCATGGTGTGAGGGGGGGAATTTTGATTCAGATGATCAGTGGAGCATAGAGAGGTGAGAAAGTGATTATATTCGCATGTGAAACCAGCCAGAATATTGTACAATGTGACTTTGTTGCACAAGTTCACTGTAGGGCCCACTGTGTCTATAGCAATTTTAATTGGATATCCCCCATTATCAGAGCTGAGTTCCTCCTTGGCTTGTCTCCACTCTGCAAGAGAGATACAAATCCCCTTGGAACACAGTGGTACAGGTCGTCCATAGGGCTGAGGAAGGTGATGGAGAGGAAGATGATGTGGGCAGGGGTCGTTGGCCCCTTGCCCTACAGTGGGGCACGCCCAGACTGTTGCCATGAGGTGATGAACAGGGGCTGTTTGGCTGCCACTCAAGCACCACCTTCTGCTTCATCCTGGCCCTACGTAGTGTAATGTAGAGCTGATGGAATGGGGTGTCAGCACTGCTGGGTGGAGCGATGCTCATCCTTCCATCCACACTGTGCTGCTCCGCGGGGACACCCGCCAAGCACGGGCACCGACCAGCCCTGCAGAGCCTGGTAGGCCTGGTCTGTGTGTGCAGGTGAGCACAGTTTATTGATAGGAAGCAACCAAGGAAGCAAACATTTTATATCCTTTTTTTTTGTACCCCTTTAATTCCCTTTTTATTAGCTAATGCTGTAATAAAATCTGTTTGTAGTATTGTATGCATGGCAACTGATAATGTAGTGGTTTTGTATTTTTCAACTTCTGATTCTCTTTGCTAGTAGTTTTTTTTTATTCTCACTGCAATAAAAGTTTTTTGTAGTGTTTGAATGACTGTTGTACTTGTCTTTACTCCGGGCACGGATTCAAACTAATTAATACAGAAGGGACTGGCAAGAGGATTCAGGGGGTTCTGGGTGGGCTGAGGGAGACCAGGACGGGGTTTGTGGGGTCCTGGGTGGTCTATGGGAGGTTTTGGGGGTCCTGACCCCCCCGACTCCTCCCAGAGATGCCACAGGACACCGTCTACAGAAAGATCCTGGTGGGGGTTGGGGGCTTCGTGTTGGGTTTCGTCTTCCTGGCACTGGGGCTCGGCTTCTACCTGTGGGAGAAGGTAAAGGGGGGTCCCCAGGGGTCGTGTCCCCCCTTCCCCAGAGCATGTGTGCCCCCCTGCCACCACAGCCCGCTGTCACCCCTTTTCTCTCCCCACAGAGCTCCTGAGCC